CACCTCTCTCCTCCCGTCCCTGCCACAGCCCTGGGCAAACGGGGTGGCCTGTGGTAGCCCCTAGAAACAGCCGTTTATCTCCGTAATCCATACGTCATTTTGTTCCTCTTGAGATCATGCCTCCACGATCGGCGGTATTTATTTTCTCTTTTCAACTGATTTTGCACGGATTGGCGCTCTTCACGCATCCAATTGCCCCGTGAACCTAAATCAAACACTTGGTGGTTTAGACAAAACACTGTGTTATGATGTCATCATAAATTTAAATTGAACATTTGGTAATTTAGACAAAAGATGTGATGTCAAATCTTAAGTAGTGTGCTTCATGTATGGCAATGTTAAGAATATAGAATTCATTTTCTGTTGCTAGGGCCTGAGTCTAATTTGTGCATATAATGAGAAATTTTGTAACACTTTATTAACTGCATACTAAAAGGTGGAAGAAGAAGAAAGATAAAATTATGAAATTCACAAAAAGGGATGCTGGTGCACTGTACATTGCAAATGACCTACAAAGTGAGCCGCAGTAATAGCAACAAAAAAGCTCGTTCTCTTGTTGTAACCAATGGAACTTAGTAAAGGCTTTGTCCAGTAAAGTCAGACTTCGTATGAGCACAAAGTTGCACAGTATTGCCTTAAGATTTGATTTTAAACTGATTCAACTGAACTGGTGCAAAACCTTGAAAAAGGTATTCTTTCTTTGATTTATATCTCATTTATACCAGCTTAACTTGTTTTAGTAAATCATAGACTCATAGAATCATAGAATCATTTAGGTTGGAAAAGACATTTAAGGTCATCAAATCCAACTGTTAACACTGCCAAGTCCACCACTAAACCATGCCCCTAAATGCCACATCTACTCATCTTTTAAATACCTCCAGGGATGGGGACTCCACCACTTCCTTGGGCAGCCTCTTCCAATGCTTCACAACCCTTTTGGTGAAGAAATTTTTCCTAATATCCAACCTAAACTTCCCCTGGAGCAACTTGAGGCCATTTCCTCTCGTCCTATCACTCGTTACTAGGGAGAAGAGACCGACCCCCACCTCGCTACAACCTCCGTTCAGGTAGTTGTAGAGAGCAATAAGGTCTCCCCTCAGCCTCCTCCAAACTAAACAAGCCCAGCTCCCTCAGCCGCTCCTCGTAAGACTTGTTCTCTAGACCCTTCCCCAGTTTCGTTGCCCTTCTTTGGACACGCTCCAGCACCTCGATGTCCTTCTTGTAGTGAGGGGCCCAAAACTGAACACAGTACTCAAGGTGCGGCCTCACCAGTGCCGAGTACAGGGGCACTATCACCTCCCTGGTCCTGCTGGCCACACTATTCCTGTTACAAGCCAGGATGCCATTGGACTCCCTTGTCTAAGGAAGAGTTTTACAGAGAACAATGGAGACTTAAAGAGGAATAAGTATTTGGCTCGATGAAGTTGCGTTGTTTTTAATTTTTGTATTTCGATAGCCTATCGGACTGCAGTTACACTAAAGTGCATCTGACATAAGCAAAAATGACATAGTGTTTTTACCAATATAGTTTTTTGTTGTGGATGGTAAACATCCAAAACTAAAACAAGACAAATGTAATTCTAAACCTTTCCCTAAAACTTGTAGAAATTCTAAACTGATTTTGCTTAAATAGGATGTTCACCTTTTGCATTTACATGCAGTATACATTTTCTCATATTGGCCATGTTTTGTTTCTCAGTGTCTTTTTGTAGCAAAGGTCAAACATATTTTAACAGGGAAAAGAAAAAGTCCAAACTTGATGAGTTTACAAATTATTTTGCTAAGGAATTGATGGAATATAAAAAGATGCAAAAAGAGCGTACACTTTCAAATGTACACTTTCAAACTGATTGAATCCACATGGGGATTTATAAAAATAAATTTTTGATATATTGATTTAACTAAAGGTGTTAAAATTCCTTTTACACTGTGGGGGCCTCAGAACACTGTTGTTCTATAAAAACAAACCTTACATCAGATATCAGAAATACTTGAACTCCCACTAAAATGTTAAGTGATGCAAAAGCCTTTGAAACTACTCAAATACTACATCACCAGAAGGTTTTCTTTGACTGAACATACTGTGAAGACAGGACATTGTTAGTTTTCACGGGTAAAACAAATGGTATAATTTGCAGTACTTTACTGCAAGTAAAGTTGGATTAGTGTGAAAGAACTGACATAAAAATGGCTTTCAGCTGTCAGACTGAACTTGCAAAATTGAAAGAGAAAATGTCTTGAACTACTGTAATCTGCATTCTCTTGTGGCTTTAATCCTCCAAGGTATTTAATGTCTGTTGAAATTAATTGTATGTTATACGCTCTTAGCCTTCTGGAAGAAATATCTATATTTTTTATTTCATCAATTCGGGTCATATTTAATCCTTGCAATGTGCTTTCAATCTTGGTTAAAGACCCTATACAACAACTGCATCCACTTCTATTCCTAAATGAAATATACATTTTATAACTCTTATTTATGAGTAGATTTAGCCTGCAGTGAGAACATATAATGCACTAAGGACTACAGTCAACTTTATCCAGGATAATAAAAACCTAACTCTACTCCTTAAATAAAAACTTAGAATAAGATAGAAAGGCAGCATGAACAAAAATGTGGACTTTTATCTTTCTTCCTGTAGGCAGGTTGGACAAGATGGTGCTAGAAGGGCTCCCTCCCTCTGCTCCTGTAGCGATCTGGGGTTATCCCCGCAGACTTCTGTCCCCAGAAAACTCCTTATTCACGTGTGCCATGCCCCAGAGCATGCAGCACATTACTTTCTGGCAGCCTACGGAAAGTCTCACTCTGACAGGCTGCAAAAATTTTTTTGCTTTATATCAGGCACTCTAAACTGAAAATCTACAGTAAAATAATGTCTTTAAGCCTACAGATACTGTGTGGGGCCTGCAGGGGGCTGGGCTAAACCCTAAGCTACGTGGACAAGGCCAGTAGTCCTTAAAAGGAGTTATGTTTTAGCAGCCACACTACTGCTTCGCCTGGAAGCCAAGAATTGCTCCCCAAGGCAGATGGTGCCCTGGCCTTGTGTAGGTATTTTCGTTGAGATCAGGTCTGCACTTTCTAATTTAATCTCCATTTATCCCTGCTACTGTGTTTTGGTTTTCATTGCACTTCACTCTTGGGACTTCCAGTTTTCCTTTCAGGCTAAAGTGATCTGGAGAATGAACTTTAAATCCTAATGGCCATTAAGTATATAGGGTCAGGCCAGAGCTAATTCAAAATAACCTCCTTTAAACTTTTAGTATAGATACCTGGTCCCAGCACCAGCTGTTTTACTCTGCGAATCCGCACCTGTCAGGTCACACTGCTTGCTGTTGCAACATAGCCTATCTGGACCAAAAGTAGTGTTGTCTTGCAGTCTGCTAGAGACTTCAGACCCATTGTATGACTTGGGCTTTCATTACCTGACTGTTAAAAGGTGCCGTGACCAAAGAGAGGAGTCTCAATCCAACTGCCACCTCCTCGCATTCATTTCTTGTCTTCTTTTTCTTCCCTAGTTGTATATCTTCTTTTCACTTCTTGACGTTAGCTTTCAGTTTAAAAACAGCCTATCTTAGCTGACCTTTTAGCAGCACTGCAGCAAGCCTGTGTCCAAAAGGCAGCTAAAATCAATGTCTAAAACAGCACAGCATTGATATGTTTGCCAAGTCTCGCAGTGGCTGATAAAACTCTGCTGAGCCTGTTTTGCTCTAGCAGTCAGGTTGCCAGTAACAATCGGGACCAAAACCAAAAGCTGCATTTTCAATCACTGCTGTTCTTTTCCTTTCTGTTTTATCTGTGTTTGTCTTGTTTTCTCTTTATGGAAAGAAGGCCAGACTCCAGTACAGAGATTCATTAACAGCCACATATCCAGCACCTTCCAGCTGGTCTTTTCTTTTATTCCCATACACTCATTGCCATCTTCAATCCAGGTTTCTGAATTGACATCATATGTTGGGTAGAAGCCTCATCCAACTGCCCATTCATGCTCTTTTGTGGCAGCTGCAGCTCATTCATTCAGAGGGCAGCCTCCATCCAGCATTAAAATCCTGGAAGTCTTAGCTGCAATGGAATATACTGCATCTCGTGCAGAGTGGAAGAGCGCCCATGGCACTGTGCTGGAGTAGAAGATACACTCCGTCTTAGGGCTGTGCGCTCAAAGGACTTGGTGTGTTTTGAAATTGAATCCATCCCAGGTTCCTCATCAAACAACTCATGCTCTATAAAAAAGAGAAATGAAGAAATGCCTCACAGTTACAAAGAAAGGGTAAATAGAGTAGAAAACACATGCTCAGAATTTTTTTTCAAATATTTTAGCTGGCTTAGTTTTGTGGAAGTTTTTTTGAGAGAGCCACCATTCAATTACATATAAAATCAATCAATGTAAGGGATTAGCTAAGTTACAATAGTTACAGTAGTAAAAACT